AGTTTAGAAAGCAGCAAGACTTCCTTTTGCAGCTTCCTGGCCTCCTGACATTTGTCCTCAGGCACCGACAGGAGTGCCGTCGGTTGAAAGTCCGAAGGGGTCTCAGCAGACATATCTCCGGCAGGCAAGGGGGTCAGTGCAGACTCCCAAAGTGCCACTCGAAGCCTCGCAGCTGTTTTTATGGGTCTGATTAGAGAACTTCGAGCAATGGCGGCAAGCGTCTGGGCGATGAGTTTCTCCAAGGCAGAGAATGAAGAGTGTGTGGCCGTCATGGGTCGCAAGTTTGCTTCCACAGCCAACACACAATTTAAAACATCCCCACTTTTCGATCATAAAAGAGTAAAATGGCACCAAAAGAAAAAGAGGGGGGGTTGCCGGGAAGCCCCCTGAGGAGCGGCAACCCTCAAAAAAGTCTTCTTCTTTTTTTGGTCTTAGTAAAGAATAAAATAAACGTAGCAAGAGGGAAAAATAAAACGATTTGAGCAATCCCTCATGAGGGGAAAAAATTACGCTTCTTCACCGACGGGCAGAAAACAAGCTGTTAACAGCGCGGCGGTCAGAAGAGAACTGGTGGGATGCCTGCGCCCCACCTCTTTGGGCACGCACAGTGGGGTTTCCGCACATGCCTGGGAGGGAGGCGCGAAAATCCCTTTGTGAGCTTTGCATACCACCAATTCAGATCAGCGCAGGTGCATAATCCCATGGGTGTGATGCACAGAGACCAAAAAGAAGATACCTAGATCTCAATCTAGTTCAGAAGAACACATTTTCTTTATCTTCATTATCAGTTGCAATTCAGCAATCTTTCTTTCTAATCTCCCTTTGAAATTCCTTTGTAAGAGAACTGCTACTCTTAGGTCAGCAACAGAATGTCCTGCAAGGTTAAAAAGTGCCCCCACTGTTTTTTTAATATTGTGGTTTCTAATACCAGCAGAAAGAGTAAGAGTCCAGTAGCACCTTAAAGACTAACAAAATCTGTGGTAAGGTATGAGCTTTTGTGAGTTACTGCTCACTTCTTTAGATAGATCAAGATGAGTTAGTTTTTCTGTAGCAGTAGAAAAGAGCAACAGTCCAACAGCACCTTGAAGACTAACAAAATTTGTGGCAGGGGATTAGCTTTTGTATGACTCTGCTCACTTTTGTAACCTTATTTCCATTTATTCTTTGCATCCTCTTGGACTGAATTCTTCTGGCTCAAACTGAGACCTAGGTTTCCTGTCTCATTACCAATGCTGATAACTCAGTCCCTACTACTCCTCTGTATATCACACCTCATCCAATCAAACTTGCTATTGCCATTCAGCATCTGAAATCATCTTTATAAAGTTTATATCTCCAGTACCTCTTGTTACATTTTATGGCACATGTGGCCCAGCTCAACAAAGTGACATTTATGTCAGATCCGGCCCTCATAACAAATGAGTTCGACACCTCTGATGTAGGGTTTCTCCCCTCTATTGCTGACCCTTAGCCGGTCCTTCAGTTTGGAATGAGGAAGTCAGAGTTATGAGACACACAGCTGTGTGTCGACTTTCAAGTTCTCCAGAACTCTGTTAGGCTGGATGTTACATTAAAAGTTATCTTCAAGGTGAACTCTAGCATTCCAGGAAATAGGGTAGTCAGAACCTCTCTCCATGCTAAGTTTTCTACTTGCAAGGAGTTTTGTTTTATGGGATCGCATTCAACAGTGGCATGCTCCAATCAGATGCATACATTGACCCAGCCTTGTATAAAGAACCCGTACATCTCCACATCCTTGATATTATTTATATGTCATATTTTGTTTAAAAAACTGTTTATCTTGGGCCCACAGTAATGATGAAATTCTGGTTTCTTAAGAAACTGCCCCTTTGTATGGAGCATGGAGTGAATGCCATAGGAAATGGTGCTCAGAAGAGCTACATCTGGCTCCTGAGCCATTATCATTGCTCTGTAAACCTGCAGTTCTTCACACGACTGAACTGAACACCCAAGCACCCACAACACTGGAATAATTTCTGCAAATTTTGAAACCAAAATATTTAAGAACACAAGTGCAATGATTATGTCAAAGTAGAAATGAGCCTCAAGGACAATTTCAAATGTAAGGTAAACTTAGTAGGAAAACTACCCATGACAAGAAAAATAACTTCTTAGTCTTACAATACTAAATTAAAACTGAAATATGTACAAATCAACTATAACACCTAAATCTCCCCCAGACTGACTGTTTACATTTATATATTTTTCCTGACAAACACTCAAAACAGTTTCCAGATGTATAGACAGAATCATAAATATTAATACGAACAATAGATTTAGTCAATCATCAGTTCAATTTCCACATCAGTTCAATTTCCAATGTCCCCTTTACATAATTCAACCTTACTTTTTCCTGAACACACTTCTCTAAGATTCCAAAGGGCTGGGGCTGCCAATGAAAAAGCCTGAGTGAGAGCGGAAACTCTCCTAACTTCCTTCGGTTTTGGGACTGCCCCCCTATTGTGACAAGCACAGCACTGAAGAATGCATACCAGGAGAGGCAATCCAGCAAGTATGTAGGTTCCCGGGCATTAATGTTTATTTAATTATTTTATTTACTTGATTTGTTACCTTGCCTTTCTCTCCAAGGGAACCCAAAGTGGCTTACAACTTTCTTCTTTCCTCCATTTTATCCTAACAACACGGTAAGGTAGGTTAGGTTGAGAGTGTGTGACTGGCCCAAGATCACCCAACAAGCTTCCATGGCAGAGTAGGGATTCAAACCTGGGTTTACCAGATAATAATCCAACATTAGCCGCTACACAATTCTAGAGAATTTTAAAGGTTAAAACAAACACTTGGAATTGAATTTGAAAACAGAATGGCAGCCAATATAGATATTCCATAACCTCAGTAATGTAGCCAGATCTCCTAGCTCCAGTCTGCATTAGCAACCAAGCAGCGACATTCTGGACCAACTGAAGTTTTTTAGTTGTCTTCAAAGGCAGCCCATGTAAAGTGCAAGGATGATATGGATACAGTCAAAGCAAGCTATTTCATTATGGCCAGAGTTCACATGTTTCTCCTGTTAGCAGAATACACTGTTGTTCATATGAAAGACACCATTCTGGTGTCAATCTATTCTTAAAAGCCTACAGCAATAGATTATCTTGGAATAAAACCTAATTAACATACATGCATTATATATATATACTAGCCTGATACCCATGCTTCGCTACGGTATTTAAGTTCCATAAATCCAGTTATAATATCGATGATGTGAAGTTTGAAATGCGACATTTGTTGTAGGAATTCTAATGGAGAAGATTGTAGTGTAAAAAATGGAGAGAGACATACGTCCTTTTCTCTCTCTCTATTGAAGGACCTTTCTCTAGACCTCATTGGTGGTTCTGCCCTCAGGTGCTAGGATCACCAGGCTGCTTGATGAGCTCACTCTGGAACAGGCAACATAGAACTGTCCATTTAAGAAGCAGTCGTCTGTTAAGTCAATTCCTGCCACCTTCCACGAAAGTGATAGCCTCTCTACTTGTGTTCCTGGATTGTTTTGCTCATAAAGAGAATGTGTTGTTCTGAGCACCTAAGGGTGATCTTGCTGGTACTTGGCCTGCACAGCTCAGTACCCCTACAGTAATATTATGTGCAAATGTCTTTGCTGCATTCCTAAGTTGCTTCCTCCTGGCAGCTGTCTGTCCAGTGTGGGAGGGGGGAGGAGTATTAGAAGCCACTGTGGAGGTGGGGCTGGCAGGATCACTAAGGCGTTACTGCTGGGGTGGGCTCCCTCGTGGCTTTAAGCACCCTGCAAACACTGCTGCACCTGACAGACAACCACCTGTTACATGTAGGAGGTGGGGGGAGTGTGTTGGAAGCCATCAGAGAGGCCGGGCCAGCAGCATCGCTAAGGTGATCCTGTTGGGGCGGCGTCCCTGATGGATTAAAATGCCTTGGCCCTGCTCCTACACCTGACAGACACCCGCCTGTCTGGTGTTGGGGGGGGTTGTATTTAAAGGCATTGGAGAGGCTGGGCCAGCAGCAGGGCTAAGGCAATCCTGCTGAGCAAACCTCCCGGGCGGCTGTAAGCATCCCACCTCCTCTCCTACACCTGATAGGCAGCTGCCTGTCCAGTGTAGGGGGGGAGGGGGGAAGAGTATTAGAAGCCACTGTGGAGGCTGGGCCAGCAGGATCACTAAGGCGTTACTGCTGAGGTGGGCTCCCTTGTGGCTTTAAACACCCTGCACCTGCTGCTGCACCTGACAGACAACCGCCTGTTAGGTGTAGGAGGTGGGGGGAGTGTGTTGGAAGCCATCAGAGAAGCTGGGCCAGCAGCATTACTGCACCTCACAGGTGGTTGTTGGCCATTCCTGATTTCCTCAACTCTCATTAGCTGTCTGCAGACTCCTATAACTATTGGCTTTTTTGCCTCAGAACACTGAGCTCTGCAGCTGACCGATAAGAGAGTGGGGGGTGCAAGGAGGCAGCAGCCTGGAAGCCAATAGGAATCAATGGAGGGAGCACATTTTACCCCTTTTGACCCCCCTTACGGGTTGAATTTCTAAAACTCTCTTCTTAGTGAGTATCTACACCATGGTAGGAGTGCTCTCCCCGAATGTCATGTTTCTAGAGCCAGCGGTTTGGCCTGGGTGTTGATTTTACGGTGAGGGGACTTTCTTTTATTTATATATATAAAACAATATATATATTTTAAACAAGTGACAACTAAGAGGCCTAGGATTAGTCAAGGATAAAATGGATACAGTCAAAGCAAGCTGTTTCATTATGGCCAAAGTTCATATAATGCACATTTATTAATTACGTTTTATGCTTTAATCATATGACATTGTAATCTACAACACATAATGAGAATACTGTTGTAGTTAAATGTATCTATTTTTTCTTCAAATAAGTTGAGTCCAGTAAGTTAATAAAACTTCTGAACCAAAGTAAGGATCAAGATGACCTGCCACTCAAACTCCAAGATCAGCTGTAGTTCATAATTGAATTTCTATGAGGGGGAGACATACCTTCAATTGGTCTATCAAAATCTGTAGGTAAGCATCAGCTTCTGTCAGTTTTTTGTCAAAATCCTGTACACTTGGAACAAATCCAGAATCCACACCCTGTGGGGGAAAAAATCAAATGTATAAAATGTGAACAAGTTTTGTTTACACAAGCCACAAAACAGCAATTTATTTCTCAATTGTAACTGGCCAGTACCAACAGCAGAACTTAAACATTCAAGAGATTATATAAGCAGCCCAGATATACTTTTTAATTACTTCATGGAAAGGTTACAAATCTTTAGTTACTACACCAGATTAACATACAATATAAGCACTTTAAAACTATATACATTTTATATAATATATTGTACATTATTCAATTAGAAAACCACAAATCAGATTATAAATAAATGCATAATCAATCAGAAGGTCAGAAAGCTAACACTGATCTGATTTCATAATTTTTTTGGACATTAAAAACTAAGCAGCCATTAGTTTCATGATATTTGCCTTTTCCCATAGTAATTATGTTTACGAAGTATATTTGCTTCCAGGCCCAATTTAAGGTGCAGTAATTAACTACGGTGGCTCAAGTGGTTAAGACACTGAACTGCAGGCTGTGGAAGGTCGGTAGTTCAGCAGTTCAAGACCCGGGTGCTGCATGACGGAGTGAGCTCCCGTCTCTAGTTCCAGCTCCTGCCAACCTAGCAGTTCGAAAGCAAGAAATTGTAAGTAGATAAATAGGTACCACTTCAGTGGGAAGGTAACAGCATTCCGTGCGCCTTGGTGTTTAGTCATGCCGGCCACATGACCACGGAAACGTCTTTGGACAGCGCTGGCTCTTTGGCTTTGAAACGGAGACGAGCACCGCAACCCTAGAGTCGAATTCGACTGGCTTTCGAGCAAGGGAACCTTTACCTTTAATTAACCTTTAAAGTCCTACACAGCTTCGGGCCATCATATTAGAGGGACTACTTGTTTGAATATAAACCTACCCTACCACTCCGGTCATATTTGGAGGCCTTGCTTTAGCTTCTGAGGCTAAATGTGTAGCA